TATTATATCCGGGTTCGCAACGGACAGACAGGGATAACAGTCAGGTGCAAGAAGGATGGAATGAAGAAGGCAAAGGAGCCGACAGCAGCATCCATTCCCTCTAGGCTTGAAACAGAATAGCTACAGTGAACTAATAAACCGACATAATACATCTTGAAATAATACATCAACTGGGCCCAAAACATAAGACAATTAACATCACAGATATAAATGAATCACCTTTAAAATCAAGAACTTAAAATACTTAAATACTCATCAAACTCTTTCTCACATATCCACAATACTAAAAACGATACAAACTTCAAGAACAATGTAAAATTTAAGCTTTAACAATTAAATCGGACCTTTAAAAAATATCAACTTCAAACTCATAAAACTTCTAAAAGTATAACTTCACTCAATGTCCCTTCTCTCAACTTAATAGGAATCTCATACATGAACCTAAATCTTACATAAAAATCAGCACAAATTGCAAGAAGCAAATATATACCTCTCAACTTTAAGTATTAAACATAAAAAAGAACCTCAAAGAAGAAGGACCAACCACATGTTGGAGAGGTGTACATACATTACCATTAATACATCGCAATACACTGCCCCTATCAAATCAGAACCTATCATCTGACTTGGGCTGGAAGAATACAATTCAGATTAATACACGGCAACATAAATGTTAATGCACAATTTCTTATGTCATTTCAACACTGCTGATACATTAATTTTCAAGCACTTTATTCTCGTTTTTTCAGAGCATTTTCTTTAACGCATACTGAACACTTTGCACTCAATACAAAACCTTCTCACTGGCACAGGCCTCAAGCAAAACAAAAGAGGGAGACCAATCTAGGCTAACCATGGTCAGGAGGTCGGCAAAAGGAAGCTAAGAGAGCAACTGCAGGATCATCCTCCGGGAGCCCGTCTAAAGGAGGAGGATCGTCCACGTCCCCATCCTCATTTAGCTCATCCTCATCTGGCAGGTGGAGTTCATCATTCGTCCTGTAAGGCCTCAGCTGATTGAGGTGGTAAATCTTCTCCTTGTAAGGAGGAGAGAGAACCCTAACCAACCGTGTTACAGGACCGGTCTTCTTGCAAATGCGAGCCGGGCCAAACCACCGGGGACCAAGAGCTCCACGCCGTCCTGCTCCAGCCATGCGAGGAAGGTCTTTAAAGAGGACTAAATCACCAACCTCAGCAGCAAAGGTGGACTTGCGGTTCGCCGATTATAATCCGGGCCCAGCCTTCTCTGGCCTGCACTGACGTCTCCACGGCAATCTCTCTAGCTCTCCTCAACCTAGCAGCAAAAGACTGTGCTGCCTCATGATCAGTCCTCATAATTGCTATTGCCAACAGGATAGGTGCCAATATGTCCAGTCAACAAGTAGAGAGGTTGATCACCTACTGAGCGGTGTACCGCACTGTTCATGGCCAAACGAACATATGGCAAAAGTTCCCATTCTAAGGGAGAAGCCTCCAGAAGAGTTGCCAAGGCGTTTTTCACCCCGATTGGTGCGTTCAATCATCCCGTTAGCTTGGGGATGGAAAGCAGTAGTGAAAATAGTTTGTACACTGGCTAACTCACACACCCTCTTAAATAAATTGTTTTTAAATTCTCGGCCATTGTCTGTTTGCAATAAACGAGGTGGCCCAAACACAGTCACGAACTGATTAATAAAAGCATCAGCCACAGTCTCTGCATCCTTGGATGGCAGAGGTATCAACTGAACGTATCGGGTGAGTTGGTCTATGAAAGCCAATACATATCTATTGCCTTGGGAGGTCACTTCCAGTTCCATTAGGTCTGCAGATACCCTTTCCAGTGGGTAACTGGCCTGTGGTGCAGCAGCAAGAGGAGCATGATAAGCCATACCCTTACGTTTCTGGCAAGATCGACATGTACCAACATATTCTTTGACGGCAGCCAACATGTTAGGGAAGTAAAAGTAATCCCTGAGCTTACAATATGTCCTGTAGACCCCAGGGTGACCTGCTGTTGCACTTGAATGAGCTAAATGCATGGCAGAACCCCTAAGTGTCTTTGGCACTACTAACTGATGGAGTACTCGATCTGGGAGGTGACGAACATGGTATAAAACTCCATCTCGAAGCTCAAACTCTTCAAGAGTTAGAGGAAGGCGACGACGTGGCAAATTCCGTTCCTCTAAATATTCGATCACCTCTTTCCACAGGGGATCCTCAAGTTGGTGACGACGCAGATCGTCTGGATCACGATTGTGCAGTTCTGTTGCAGCCACTGCACGACTCAACTGGTCTGGGACACGATGCTGAGTCCCTTGTTTGTATTTTAATATATAGTTATAAAAACTAAAACCACCCTATGGTCTGTGTAAATGTAGAAGCGGCGCCCATACACATAGCAGTCGAAGGCTCGTACCCCTTCCACTACTGCAAGTGCTTCACAATCAATTGCAGGACGAGTCTCGGCATCCCTAAGTTTGCGGCTGAAGTATGCAACAGGCTGCAAGCGACCCTCATCATCACTTTGCATTAAGCAAGCGCCGATTGCAACACCCGACGCATCGGTGTGGATCTCAAAGGACCTGTCAAAATCGGGCTTACTAAGAACTGGGGCTGAGATAAGTGCCGTCTTCAAGCTCTGGAAAGCAATTTCCTCCGGCTGACCCCAGGCAAACTTGGCATCCTTACGTGTCAAGCTCGTCAGTGGAGCTGCAATATTTGAATATTGTTTAATATGCTTCCTAAAGAAGCCTGTGCAACCGAGAAAGCGGCGCACTTCCTTCTGATTCCTAGGCTGAGGCATCTTTTGTATGGCAGCCCCTTATCTGGGTCAGGTTCCACACCCTTAGGTGAGATCTTAAAGCCCAAGAATTTAAATGTATCTGTTGCAAAGACACATTTCTTCCTGTTGAGCCTGAATCCTGCTTTTAAAAGGAGCGACAGAGTCTCATCTAAGTGTCTCAGATGGTCATCAAAGTTGTTGCTGTGCACCACCACATCATCTAAATAGGCAATGGTGTGCCTGCCTAAAACAGATGAAACACAGTTAACAGCCCGTTGAAATGTTGAAGGGGCAGTTGCCAACCAAATGGCAACTTTCTGAACTGAAAAAGTCTATGCCCATCTGAGAATGCAGTCTTCGGCCTATCATCTGGACTGACATCCACTGTCCAGTAGGCACTGCGAGCATCAAGAGCAGTAAACCACATGGTTCCATGGAGCTGATCAATGAGCTCATCAATGCGTGGCATTGGATAAGCATCTTGCTCAGTAATGCTGTTGAGACCTCTGTAGTCAATGCAGAAACGGGTGGACCCATCCTTCTTTCTGACGAGCACAATTGGGGAATGCCAAGGAGAGGTGGAATGCTCAATAACCCCTTGTGAGAGCATATTGTCACATTCCTTCCGTATGAACTTTTTAGAGGCTTCTGGGAGACGCCACTGCCTCACACATAGTGGACCTTCGCCCTCTTTTGTTTTAATAGTATGGGATATACCAGGTACCGTCCCTAATTTACCTTGTGCATCAAATAATGCCACATACTTTACAAGTACCTGCCTGAGCTGCTGTTGTTGCTCAAGGGTGAGATGGCCCAGATCAATCTCACTTAAAAGGTCACCAAGCTCAGCATCTTTCAGCTGAACATCTTCAGGGCAGTCGGTGCTTGAACCCGACTGGTCAACCCCAACAGGTGTTTGTGTCACAACACTGCAAGGTGGGAGATCCACATCTGGCAGAAGGATGTAATCATCTGCACTCCCAAAATCTCCAACAGCATCAAAGCTGTCAAAGTCATCATCAATAAATCCCTCACCAAGTTCAAAATCATTGTCATTGCCCATGAAAAGCTCAGTCCCTAAAGCTTGCTCTTCTGCAGAATACTGGAAAGAAGTCCCAGGAATGGCAGCTTTTCTTATCTTGACACTGTTACTATTAATCATTTTGGTTTTATTTGGCACTGCACTATCAGAAACAACACCCTTGACACTCACATTAGCACTTTCACTATTAATACCACCAACACTGGCACTTTTCACGGTATCACAAACACTAACATCACTTTCATTTTGCTTATCATCAACACCTACATCTGTGCTTCCAGCCTCAAGCGAGAAAACTTGTACAATGTTTTCAACTACAGCTAACCTATGTCCATTTCTTAATTTTACAGGACGTGCAGTCTCATTTACTGCCCAGACTTTAAGTCGGCCATTTTTCACCTCTTGTAGAGACCTAGGTACCACCAAGGGACACTCAATACCAGAAACCATTAGTTCCTTGGCGGCTTGCATACCCCTAGGAACGCTACACTTGACAAAACGTCCACTACG